GGTCAGTGCGCCACAGTCAGGTCAAGTCTGCAAAGCATTCACATCGCAGAGGTACGCTTTGATTTTTATAAAAATAAGATACAACTGAGGGCAAAGGAGCCGAAAGCCTGTCGCTCTCGCACCGCGGCTCGCTCGGTGGTGAGACGGGGGGAGCGTAGGTCGGGCCGAGGAGCAGTCTGTTTGTCTTTTAGGATATGGAAGCAGGTCAGCAGAGGTACCGAGGGGCGGTGGTGGCGGTGGCGGTGGCGGCGGCGGTGGTGATGGTGGTGGTGGGTGGCGGTGGTGGTGGGTGGCGAGGCCGAGGGTTCAGGGGCGCTGCAGCACGGGGACGTCTAACCCATGGCTGTGACCATACTGGAAGGGTGGTGGGGGGCGAAGGGGAGGCTCGAGGAAGGGTGCATGGGTGTCGGGGTGGTCAGCATGTGGCTGGAGTGCGAGAAGGGAGGGAAGGACGACATGTGGCGGGACAGGGCAGCCGGGCTGAAGGAGCTGCTCTTGTCCATCAGGCTCTTGGAGAAGTCTTCCATGTTGTCTTGGGACTTTTTGCTCTTCTTGGACTTGCTGGACATCTTCCTGTTCCTGGTCTGGATGCCTTCCTTCTTCATGGTCAGAGGTCGGTTGATCTGCTCTCGAAAGGAGACAGAGAAGATGGCAGATTAGCACTTTGTCGCAGCAGATGCGGCTAGATAGACATCTTAAGCTGAGGCCATTTTACATTAAGCGACACAATAAGAACGAGAGCTCAAGTAGCTGCTGCCGCCGCGTCTCAAAACAAATAAGAAAAATGCGGCGCACACTGAGCTCTTTAGTTTTCTTAGAAGCAGACTTTGGGGTTTTGGGGGAACATAATGATATGTAATGGAGTCCCATTACAAGGCAAATCTGACTGTCCCATCCTGAAACAGAAGATTGTTTATATATACTGTGTGTGTGTGTGTGTGTGTGTGTGTGTGTGTGTGTGTGTCAGGGTGGATTTAAAATGTTGATTCCTTTAAGCTGGACTGTATCTGAGGCTGCGGCCATGCCAGAAAGAAAGGGAGAAAAGGGGGGAAAGATGGAGGGTTGGAGGGAAGATGGAGAGAGTGTGTGTGTGCACACAACAGAGACGGAGAAGGGTCTGGCAGCTAATGTGCAGCCAGTCGACCACAGAGACACATGGCCATGACGACCGCCGGCGTCGGCCAAGTCCTGCTCTCAAACACTCCTCCCTCCCCCCTCCCTCCTCCCTCCTCCCTCCCTCCCTCCCTCCTCCAACCGCGTGGCCGTCTCCTGGCCAAAATGGCCCCAGCTGCCATATTCCAGCATAGGTTTAGCCGGGAATGAGAGCTGGATGATGGAATTCCGGCTGTGGGCAGGATTATGAGGGGAGGTGGATGAGGCCGACTGGCTTCCTGATCTTTCTGAGCGGGTTCTTCCCGGGGAAATGGGAACAGGGATTTCTTCCTCCCTCTCTCTCTCTCTCTCTCTCTCTCTCTCTCTCTGGTTCTCTCTGAGACATTGGCATTTTTTCGCTGACTCTTTAAGCAGAATGGCCTCGATGATTAGCAGAGGGCAGAAATCTGTACCCCCACCCCACTCCTCCCTCCCTTATGTGATGTGGTTTCATTCTCTTAAGATGTGGCTCCATACTGGGTGACTTTCTCTGCCTTGCTTCCAGCTCTGAGGCATGCTACGCCCACCTGAAGCCGGTCAGGGCCTGCGCTCTTTGATGCTGAGATGTCTGCAGCCTCACAAGAGGAAGCCTTGAGCCTCCGACCTGTGCTCGGGCCGCCGCCGCCGCCGCCTGGCACATCAAACAAAAGCAGGAGCCAGAGCGTTTGAGTCAATGACCACCGCAGAATACACAGCGCAGCCTCTTACATCCTCTCCCCCAGCACCAAGCAGCAGCTAACCACCTGAAACCTCAGCCCCCGCCGCGCTTACCCCATCGAAGCTGAACAACACTGTACTCCGCTCGAGGAAGATGAGAAAGGTATCTTTCACACGTGGTGAGAAACAACCCCCTCCCCCACCCCCCTGATCACTGAGTCTGTTTGTGTTTTGGGTGTGAACACGACCTCATGCTTGTGGCAGCTTCTGTGTTTGCATAAGTTTCTTATCGGAGCCCAACGCTTACAGGACAACAGACTGCTACCATCAGGTGTTTTGGGACTGTTCACACACACACACACACACACACACACACACACACACACACACACACACACATGGGCTAGCAAGAAGGACTTCAGCTAAATTCTCCATGAAGAATGTGGAATTTGTTTCAAAGGGAGCAAGCCCCAACAGAAGTCTGGATTTACCAAAATAAACTAATTTCACAATTACACCGAGGTCGGGGTCAGTTCAAATGCTAATGTGTAACTGGGAAATATTATTCTTCTCTCCTTTTAACCTTGGTCTGAGTCTGTTTCTGGAGCGCCGGACTATCTGCCAAAAGTAACATGGGAAAATGATTTAACAGGGAGCACTTTGCGTGACAAGCAGGATACCCTCCCCCTGACACAGGGATGTGGGATATAGACAACCTTTATCTGTCGGGGGAAAATATTACCTACATGTGGCCTCCAGAGCAGTTAGCCTGCTTATTATTATTATTATTATTATTATTATTATCATTATTAGTTTCAACCACAATGGCTGTTTGATTAGAAGTGACAGCTTTGTGCACAGGAGAGGAGAGAGGGGGGGGGGGGGGGGTAAACGAGTCCCTGGGGTTTTCAGATTGAGGATGTGAAATGATGTGGTGAGGCACTAACCAACCCAAAACGAATCAGAGGGATTGGTGGTCAGAGGGGGGACTTCAAGTCCCAGGCGCACGTGGAACCAAAAGGCCAGAAATAAGGAAAAAAAAAAAAAAATCGGCCTGGAAATTAATCGAATTTTAATTAAGGGCCCCCCCCCCCCCCCCCCCCCCCCTTCTTTAATATTGAAAAGCAATGCGGCTGCAGGCTTAGTTCACTTCGGTCTTATACATTTTAGATTCGTACTTACTGCCAATAAATCATATTAATTCTACAGTATTTGTTATCGCCGTGCCCCGGAAATTCTCTGCAGGGACGAGTCAGATAAAATATTCTGGGGGGGGGGGGCAGGAGGAGCAGACGTGATTGAGGAGAATAAAAGGAGGGGCAGGAGAGGAATAAATATTCAAGACAAGAGCTGTGTGATTCGGGTTAGTGAGAGCTGCTTTTCTTCCTCCCCCTACCCCCCCCCCACAACCCCCCCAACCATGAAGGTTTATTACTTACATTGTGCAGTTTAAAGTAGAGGCCGCAGGCGTTACACACCGGGTCCCCGTTGGCGTTTCTCCGCCACAGCGTCGTCGTTGTCGTCTGACAGTTCGCACATGACGTCCCTGCCCGCCTGGCTGCGGACTGCACACAACAACACACACACACACACAAAACGTCACATGACAGCGTAATCACCGCAAATCAATGTAAAGGTTTAAACGCCAACATGCAGGGCTGCCATTCCTGAGGGAACTCTTTTTATTTTTTTTATTTTTTTAACACAAGAATTGAGTTGAAATTTGTGAATTTTGGTGCATTTTACCTGCATTTAAATAAAAAAACAAATCTACAATTTAAAAACCATGAATTTGGTGTTTGTGGGTGTTTAGGTGTAATTCTGACAGCCCTGTACACGTGGCTTCTTGCTACAAATGCAATAAAGAAAATGCATTTTCATTACAGATTAAATACAGTCATTATTTTCACTCAAAGCTATTTAAAAAAAACAACAAAAAAAACATTAAAACATAGTAGTCAGCAAAGGCTTTATTATACCTCTATATACATAGGAATTCTATTTTTTTTTTGCATCCACTGAAAGCTGAAAATAGTTTAAAATAAAGACATAAATACCAAAAACAGAGCTGCTTTCACTCGAGGCTAAAAATAGCGTCACAGAGCACATACCTCCTGCAGAATAAATATTTACAGAAGACATAAAAGTGGTGCCTTGAAATGGGAGAGCTATTAAATCTGATTAAATTTCCCCCTAAAAAAGTGCCACGAAGGCTTGTTTTAAATGTGGATCTCATGACGTGAAACAATTGAGATGAAAAGAAGAAAAAAAAGGGGGGGGGGGGGAGGGAGGGAGGGGGGCCTGAAAGTCTTCATATACATGAAACCTCTCATATAGGATCTGTGCAATCAGGATATGGATAGAAATTATGAATGTAAGATGCGGTGAAATGAGCCATAACTGCACGCCAACTAAAAGCATAATAATAATATTAATAAGAAAAAAGAAAGAGTGTGTATTTTTGGCTCTGCTGCAGGCTACCAGCAGAGTGAAACCCTCCCTTCATCCTGACACAGTCAAAGTCATGTCTCCTCATGGATTTAGCTGCCTCGCGCCTGCCTCAGCCTCACTTTGCTGCAGTTGCCTTGACATTGATGTTATAATCTCTAAAAACAATCGATAGACAGGTGACCGCAGAGGACGCGCGAACGTAAAGGACTACATTATCTCGGGGAGGGATTTCCAATTATACACGTGCGGTGGCCTAATAACCCCCTGCTGCTGCGTGCTGTGAATACCCAATCAGATCGCGAGGGATAAACTTTATTATGCAAATTAAGCCCACAAATCGTGTGTGCATCGTTATCTTTACTTTTTATTATTATTTTATTACTAATAATAATATTTTCTGCAACCAAAATATCAAATCTGAGCCGGGCAGATATTATTTGGTGGATTTAATAAGAAGTGATCAGCCTATCCTCCGCTGGTGTCTCTTTCTGGCCATTTTCCTTCATCTATGACTCACATGTTGCGTGGCAATTACCCACACCTGACCCATCCTCGTGTATTTAAGCGTGGATTATAACACTAAACAATCTCAAGTCGTGACTGTGCTTGGCCTGGCTCGGACTCCGCAGCCTTTATGTTTTGACTGGGGAAGCGGGGCTGTGTTGTTAAAAGCGACTTATCTGCGCTGCTCAGATATCCGGCAGCCCTTTCCCTGGGAAGTCGGGTTTTCACATTAGAGGCGAGATGCAGGAGGAGGAGGAGGAGGAGGAGGAGGAGGAGGAGGTGGAGGAGAGAGAAGGAGGTTCAGAGCAGAACTGGACAGCCATCTTTGCCTCGAAAGATTTTTTTTTTTTCTCTTTCTCTTTTCATAAGAAGGCAGGGGAACTCCTTAAAGCTCATAAGAGATGCAGCTTTGATGAGAGGGGGTGGGGGGCTTTCCCTGAAATAACCTCAAAAAAATAGCTCCAGCTAAGCAATGCCAAAATATGAAAATAATATTGGAGCTCATTGATGCAGGCCTGCAGCCTCACACTGCAACAAGTTACAGCAGAAGCAGTTTAAATGCATCTCCAAAATACACATGGGAGAGGAAAGAAGAGGGGGGGGAGCTATTGTATTGTTCAAACTGTGAATCAATGACAATTTTAGCAAATAAAAAATAGCATCGTCATTGCATTTGAAAAAAATATGTGCAGTTTTTTTCTATGGTAGTATCTGAAAACAGAGACCTGCACTTGTCGAGTCAATTTCCTGCAGCTAATAGGCCTACTTCTTCCTGGATAGGGGAAAAACAGAGAGAGAGACGGAAAATGTCATCAATAGAGAAAAATGTGGTGGGGACGTACCAGCCGCCGCTTGGGTTTGATGAGAGGGCGATTCTGCCCGTTCATCTTGTGATAGAGTCCGCAGGCGTTACACAGATAGTGACCCGTACCGTCCCGCCTCCACAGCGGAGTCGACGTGGCCCCGCAGTTCACACACTCTCTACCTTCTGCAAGAGCACGCGCACACACACACACACACAAAAATACACACACATGCGCACAAAACATGGAGACAGTGTCCAGGTCAGTAATCCTTAAAAAATAAAAAAATAAGATAAAATAAAAAATAATTCCTGATGCATGTAATTTATGCTGAGGGTAGAAAAGATTAGTGAAATCACAGCAAATATTAGAACAACGATAATAACAAAAGCATTAATTTAACTGCAGCAGTTACTATATTTACAACACACACATACAGTAAACACATGTGGTTAGTGTTGGTGGTCAACACAGTGTTAAGGTCCATAAGGCAGAAATCATGTAAATAAACCACAACGTGTCCTTGAACAGGATTTTCAGACTGAGCACAGTTCACTTTGGTCCTTGACAATTTCAAAATAAAACAAAAAAAATCTAGGCCTTGTTCTTTCTCTCATCAGCCAAGAATAATAATAATAATTATAATTATAATTGTAATAGTAATGTGTGCTATTAGAAGATGTTTCCTTTGCTTTAAATTGATTGAGGGAGTGTTGAGGTTTGACTGGCACTTCTCTAGTGACACCGACAGGTGAGACGCGCACTCACAGTTGGATGATAGTATGGGGGGGGGGGGGGTCTGAAAGTGAAACAAGGGAGCTGCAGTCACACTCAGATTATTTGAAAGCAGAGACTCACACAGGGCTTTTGTGCAACGCCGAGAGCCTTTTGCATTTTCATGCAGCCGCACTTCCCCTTTTTTGCGAGCTGCAAAAACACACGCACGCACGCACACGCGCACACACAAGGCCGACTTCTTCACAAAGAGAGAGATACGTCAGTCCGGGTCGTGCAGTGTTTAGATGTGACAGACATCAGCAGGACAAGTCTGTGTGTGTGTGCGTGTGTGTGTGCGTGTGTGTGTGTTTCTTTCTATTTTGGCAAAAGAAGCTGCTGCTGAAATCAAACAGGAACTGTGTCGGATCCAGAGCAAATGACTTGAGAAAAAAACACACACAGGTTTCTGCAATGCAGAGTTTCTATTGCACAAGGTGTGTTTAGGCTCCTTTTTTTTAAATGCTGAACGCTTTCTCTGAAATGTGAAGTATAGATCACACTCTCTCTCTCTCTTTCTGTCTCACTCTCACACTCTCTCTCTCTCTCTGCACTGATAACCCCATTCCAATGTAGATACTCCACAGATCGGGAAATATCTTTTAAATGAACATTATCTCCCATTATCCTCGAATTAAAAATCTTTATTTGCATTAATGGCCCAGTGTATGATGCTGAATAATCCTGATGATATGCATCAACTAATCCACTGTTTTCTATACTCACATCAAAGCCGCTGATATTAATCTCATTACAGAAAACTGCTTTTCAGCTGCTGCAGCAATAACCTTTAAAATAATTACCCCCCCTTCTCCTCTCCCTCCCCTCCTCACAAATTTGGAAATGTCTCCCCCTCACACTCACACACTCTCTCTCCCTTTTCTCTCTCTGTCTCTCCCCTCCCTCGGTGGTTCGTGCACTCTGCCACGGCGACGGTTCACCCCGCTCTTTCTTCCCTGTGAATGAACGAGCAGCATCCGGTGCTCTACCGCTGGGTAAACAATGCAACTGTGGCGTGCACTGGTCTGACAGTAATGGGATTATCTTAAACATATAAACGGGGCGACACAGCCCAGAGAGCGAGCTGGCTTCCCCCCCTCTGTCCCTCTCCTCCCTCTCTCTGTTAGTGCAGAGGAAGATGAAAAAAGAAAAAAGAAATGACCTAAATTAATCTGAGCATTCAACTCTGAACTCGTCTGCGTCATGAGGATTTTATTTTGGTAGGAAAAAAAAATCCCGATATTGTATTTATTTTTTTTATATTTATTTTAAATATATTATTATTATTATTATCCTCATTATTATTATTATTATTATTATTATCATTATTATTATCATTATTATTATTATTATTATTATTGTTAGGTGATGAAAGAAAGAGCTTTGAGGCACATTGATGCGCCTGTTGGAGCACAGGTTGACCCGTTTGGCCTTTAGCCCCAAAAGAAGAGCTTGTTCATGTGAGGGATGAATGAGCTGCTCGCGGGCATTTTTTTTTTTTTAAAGTATATGAGATTAAACATGGCTGATCATTAAGGCTGCAAATCTGGGGAATAATGTTAGATCAAAAGGGAATGTAATAAAGCGCACGCCTACCTGAACAGGACCTTGTTTTTGGTCTTGTTTTGGAACCATAACTAGAAGATGACCCACCTATCAGGCTACTTGGTGGGAAGAGGCCTGGGCCGTATTCAGGGACATAGGGTGGGTATGTGGCGATGGGGTGGTGGGCAGAGGATGACCCTGCTCCGATTGATGCCACGCTCCTGCTGTGAGCTGACTCCAGTTTCATACTCTCGGCCAGGGTCACCTGGTACTTTATGCACTCTTTATCCTCCTGCCGCCCGGAGCTGCTGGAGCCCGGGGTGGATATGCCTGGGTCCGGGGATACGTCTTTCGGAGGGGTCGGGGGAAACGTGAAGAGGTGCGGACTGGAGTGACCGGTGGACAGGGAGGAGGAGGAGGCCGGGGGGTAGACGGACAGGCTTGCCGGGGAGCCGTGGTGCAGGGGGTTCTTAGGGAAGGGGCTCAGGTTCCAGGGAGAAGTGCTGTGGTGCGGGGCGATGCCTTTGCTCCCCTCCAGCCAGGGCAGAGAGCCGTGCAGTAATGAGGGACGGCACACCTGGCTACCTGAGGCAGCACAGAAACACAAGAAAACATCACAACCTGACCTCAATCCACAGCAACAGTAAATACACAGGAATTCTTTTGCGCTTCAGGCCTGAAAACAGCATCAGATAAAAGAGTTTGCGCACATATTTACCAAATACATTTATGCGTATTTTTACAATTTGCCTCCAGCTGCACATTGAAAACACTTTCCACTGAGATTGTGTCGAGCTGGAGATCATCTGATCCCCGTTGAACAGGCCTTCGTGTAACAACAGTTCACTCATAAGTCAAAAGAAAACTACATCCAGGAAGTTAAAGGTTACAATATAGGAAACTTCACAAATGACTTAATGCCGATGAATACTGCGTGATAATAAATATTGTGCACGCGCTCAGAAGTGAAAAATGTGCTTCCGAGCATTACGGAAATATTCCAGGTGTGTCTGTGACCTCTGTGCCAACACATGTATTTGTTTAAACCCGTAACTAAACACTCGATTGATCCAGAAAACAAATTACGCACGGGCTTTTGGAAATCTACTTTGACATTATGAGTCAGCTGAATGTTATTTAGTGTTGGTGAAGTTTAGCCGGTAATAGGCTGTGATGGCTGTAAGCGGCACACACACACACACAAACCCAAATACAAACTAAAGGTGAAGCATATATATTTACGGCACTTAAATTCTCTGTTCTATTTTTTTTTTTTTTTTTTAAAGACAAAGTCAGCTGAGGCCAAAACCGAAAGCTGCTCTGGATCACCGTCAGAGAAGAGAAATAATTCCAAACACAGCGACAGTAATTGAGTCTTTTCTGCAGGGCTAAATTACGCACAGACGTCTAAAGAGGATAATGTGCACATTATTAAATAAAAGGCCCTAAAGAGGCCGTTTACTTACTGTGTGGAGGAGGAGGGTACCTCTGGACGGCTCGGACAGAGTTTCCATAGTATGGAGAGACGTGGTTCCCCTGTCCATCGATATTAAAGAGTACATCCACATCGTCAGCGAGGGGATACTGCGAAGGGTCCATGTATGAGTGGCTGAGGCCCGGGTGATGTGAGCCGGGATGCTGCTCGTTCAACACCGCGGGATGATGGCTCATCCATCGTGGCTGATCCGCACTTACTTCCATCGCTTTTCGCTCTGTGTTTTAATTTTTAATTTTTTCTTCTTCTTCTTCTTCTTCTTCTTCAGCAAATGTTCATGCACGCCGAAGCAACGCGATACAAGTCACAAGATAAGAAATAATCAGTCCCAAATCCGTGTTTCTTTTTGGGGGGTTAAATCCACAGGTTCCGCGCTTGCTTCTGATCACCTGGAGACAGAGAGAAGAATTTATTGCCTTGTTTTCTCAACATGCAGCACGACTAAAAACACACAGGAGGCTCACGCTTAACTGCATTTTTACCCGCGTTTAAAAAAAAACAACAAAAAAAAAGAAAGAAAGAAGAAAAAAAAAAGAAAAAAAAGCATATTTAAACACGAAACATACCCCACATTACAAATGCAACAAAGGTGTTGTCATATAAATAACGTCCAAAATGGAATCCAGCCTCACGCAGAGTTCCTGAACTTCTTCCTCTCAGAAAAACGTCAGTGTTTTCAGCCCCAGCTCAACAAGTTAGTGGAGGCTCGGTGCGGGGCGCAGGGCTTGTTTGCAGTGAATGGCTTCACTGCACACTGACCGGCACCAGCAAGTTAAACTCACTGATCAAATCTCTGTTTGTGCGCAGTTGTAGCCCTCTCCATTAACTCCGCTCCTCTCTCTCTCTCTCTCTCTCTCTCTCTCTCTTTCCCTCTCGCTCTGTGTGGCTCTTACTCCCTCGCCCTTGCTCTATTCTACCTCTCTCTCTCTTGCTCTCTTGCTCTCTCTCTCTCTCTCTCTCTCTCTCTCCAATCCCCCCCTTTTTTTTTTTTTTTGTTTTTTTTTTTTTTTTTTTTACAGTGAAGGCATTCTTTCAGGATGGCGCCAGGCAGCTCAATGCTTGCAGACAGCTGTGGCGCGACGCAACTTAAGGAGGGTCTGTCAGTGTCATCAGTTAAGGGGAGGGGCCTGCCCTAATTGAATATAACGTGGACCAGGAGAGATGCAGAAGTGCTGCAAGATTTTTTTTTTTTTTTCAATGACCTTGCCATAAAAGATAATATTATAATAAATAAGGAGATTTCTTTTTGAGGCCTAACACCCTTGCTGTGAATGGCGACACAGTGCGGGTGGAAAGTTAAAGGTGTAGGAAGTAATTATAAATTATAAATTCATCTATATAACACTAATATGTGTAAAAAATATAAAATATGAATAGGATATTAAAAGAAAGACAAATAAACCTTTAAAAATAGAACATATACGCCTCAGCTTCTCATAAAAGCAGATACACAAATAAATACAGCCTAAATTAAAATAATTAAAACTAATATTAGTGTTTTATTACGCCATCGGCTTAAGTCTGCACTTTCTCAAACCTCCTGCTGCAGTTTAAAAAGAGAAGAAGAGGAGCTGCAGCAGAGCCTGTTGCTCTGGGCCAGTGGCAGGTTGCGGGACATTTACGCTCTTAAAATTGTGACAGTGCGTCCTCTCGCGGTGACAGGCACATTATTCTAATGGCAGATCCAAATTGAGCCGATTTCCTCACCGTGAAGCAGGCACGGACAAGGACGCCTGGGTGACTGAGCTTATACAGTCTCCAAAAAAAATAGAGAGAGGGAAGAGAGGAGAGAAATCCTAATGTAGACTGTTATTTATTGGCTGTCAGTTAACTTATCTTTGCAATAACCTAAACCCACTGCGGCAACTCAGACAGACAAGCAACAATGGCTCGTGTCATTATTTATTCAAAACAGTGCATTTAATGTAACGCGATAGCGCGCGCAGAGACTGATGCGTCCCACCTCGTCTTTCTTTTTTTCTTTTCAAGTTTAACAAATAAGCAGCTTCAATTTAAAGGATTTAAAGGGCAGCTTCTTCCTTATAAATCAGAGAGGAGTTCACCCTGTATGTCCGGTGTCGCACACGCATGATGCCGCGCGTCTGCAGCGTTATTCCGCCTCGCTGCGCGGCAAAGAGGAGGCGGCGGTTCCTTGGGGAAGTATTTTATGTCGGCTTCTCCATATACTTTCATATTGGCTGTGTGTAATAGTAGTAGATTGGGGGGTATCTGTGTGTGAGTGTGTGTGAATGTGAGTGTGTGTGAGCGGTGGGGGCAGCCTCGGCGACGCCACTGGATGTGACGTCACCGCAGTGTAAACAGTCAGGAAATGAACCCTCTCTCGCAGCGCGCAGTAGGTATGGCAGCGGGAGCGCGCACGCCCACGTGAGGGTATCAACATTACCCTGCATGTGACTGTTTTAATATCAGGTAGATTCTGTCCGATAGTGGGGGGGTGGATATATTGGCCGCACAAAAACAATGCATGAAATGTAGCATCAATCATCAATAGTAGCATTGATTAGCTGCATTTTTGGAGGCTTTAAAGCTACAAGGCCACACGCTCAGGTGATGGCTCCATTAGCGCGTGTTCGTCTAGGCTATATTCGCAATTTATTCCCACCCCCACCCTCTCCCCTCCTCCCCCCTCCTCCCTCTTTGATATCGAGGTTGTTCTCTGCCGGGCGCGTGGGAGCACAGACTGAGAGAGACTTGGCAAAGTGTCGTCTTTTTCCTCTCCAGGATAGCCCTACCTGGAGACACACACACACACACACACACATATATACACACACACACACACACACACACACACGTGCACGAGCGCGTACAGAGGGAGCGTTTCCTCACTCAGACAAACCTGAGACTGAACTTGGATGCAAACTGCTGTAGCTGCCATTGTCAAGCTGTCAGCGGACTCGTGTAATTATCCTCTTGAAAAGTATCGCGGAGCCATTATCCACAAAAGTAGGGCTACCAGTTATAGGTGCTCGGAGGCAACACATGACGGTAAATGTAGCCTAAAATCCCGATTATGTTTTTTTGTTTCTTGACTGGATGTATCGAAGCTTAGAGAATGGGACATGGAAGCCATCCCATGACTTGATTCCCAAGCCTCGGTGTCAATAACGCCGCAGCTTTATTTATTCAGCGCGGAATAAAACTGGCTCTCTTGGAAAAAAGTTGTCATTTATAATCCCAAAACTGTCGCCACGAAGGGAGAAATAGTGGCTCCATGTCTCTCTCTCTCTTCCCTGTCAGTGTGTGTGTGTGTGTGTGTGTGTGTGTGTGAGCCCCCCCCCCCCCTGCATTAGTCTACTCCTGCAGCTAATGGCCTACAAATAGCAGCGCCGCTGTGCGTAAAGCTTTGATTCATAAAAAAAAAAAAAAGAAAAAGAAAAGTGGGCGAGAGGCCAGTCCGGCTTTCTGATGGCAGAGATAATTTCTGAGTGATTATATCAGCCAGTTCTGATTCACATCAACACATGGCGCACTTTTCTTCTCCTTCCTTTTTTTGTGCTACATTGCGGATGAGAATTTAAGACACGAACGGGATTATTATTGCCAATGTGGAGGATGAAATGTTTTTAGATAACGCCTGTGAGTGTGTGTGTGCGCGCGCGTGTGTGTGTGTGTATATGTATGTATGTATGTATGTATGTGTGTTTATATTGTGTATGTCCTCATCAGCAAATTAGAATCATTGTTTTTCCTCATAAATAATAGTTTCCTTCCGCGAGGTCAGGGAGATACAAACACACAATACTAAAATTACACATAACACCACTGGTCTAACTACTACTATATAATAGGCTAATAACAATAATAATAATAATAATAATAATAATACATTTAACGTTTTTTGTAATTTAAAAAAATCACAAAACACGCAAAAGATATACAATTATTTTTAAAATAGTACCCTGATAATAAAAGGTGTGTGTGTCTATGTGTGTGTGTATGTATGTGTGTGTGTGTGTGTGTGTTTACTGTTTTATCTAAAGCTTTGATATCCAGATCCATGATGTGTCACACTCTCATTCATTTCAACATTAACAGACCAAAAATAAACAAACAAATATACAAATGTCCGAGAATAATATCTAATCTTTCATCTTGATAACAAATAAAAATAAGAATAAGTAAAATAAAAAGGCACAACACAAATACAACAGAACGCAGGCAAACACACACAGGTCAGATGTTAGAGGCTAAACATATATATATATATAGAGAGAGAGAGAGAGAGAGAGAGAGAGAGAGGAGAGAGAGAGAGAGAGAGAGATAATAAATTATTTAAAGAAGGTGAAGCGGCTCTGGTGCTGCATGTGTTGCCTGTTACAACAATGCAGATGCCCAGTCACTGATTAAAAACGCTGCAGGCCAGTCACGGTGTCATTGTGAAATATTCTACCGGCTCATCTGTACATTTTGAAACCAGTGCAGCACCGCAGGTAGCCTGTAGCTTATGTTACATTTCATACTCTGTGAGTCATTTGTTACCTTTCTAATCTTTTCAAGAAAGAAAAGAAAAGCACGCACACACACACACACACACACATACACACACATATATATGTATATATAAAAGAGGTTGCAATTCTGTCAGCGTGTGAATCAACTCGGCTTCTTAGAACAAAATGAGGGCGTCAAATTCTGCACGTCGAGCGCGTGAAACTTGAAAAACAGCAGTGGATTTCCTAGAATGATTTGAAATGAGAAGATGTAGGATAAATCATCGTTTTTTTTTTTAGTTTTTTTTTTTTTTACGAGTGTGTAAAAAAAACAACAAAAAAAAAACCCAACAAAAAAGACAAAGTAGTTCATCGTATGTTGTGTCATTCTTCCCGGCGAGAGGAACAAAAAAAAAAGAAAAGAAAAGAAAAAAAAAAGAAAAACAAAACGGTCTGCCAATTGACTGACTTGTGATTCTTATCTGTGTCTATATCGCTTCTCGCCAGACACACTGATGTAATCTTTCCTTTAACAAACCGGGCCTTTTCACCTCTTAGCACTATGCATGCCCAACAGAAACAAAAGCCATTAATATTTCTGGATTATTTATTAATTACTCCTCTAAACACCATTTAACTCCTATAATTTGATTATTTTTGATTAAATCCACAATTTTAACAACCTCCTTATAATAACGTTGCAAAACAAAGATTTAAATGAAACCGCAGCAGCAGCAGCAGCATCAGCATCAGATTTAGTAATACAGATTTAATAATATTTTTACTTTACTATATTTAATATAACCGAAGAGGTCAGTTTGGATATTTTAAAAACATAAAAAAATAGTCACAAATTTTTTTTAAATAAAAAATATAAATAAAATACCGGGTTGGGGAAAGGGTGCGCGAGCTTCTTTTCTCGCGCTCGTGCCTCCTCTGCATGCAAATAACCGTTGGAGTTCTTGGCCCGTGACTGTGCGCGTGTGATGCCCTTAATTTGGCATCCTATTCATTCTAACTCTCCGCCATATCAAGACATATCGACCAAAGACGACATGGAGGAAACTAATAACGAAGGAGGGTGGAGGGGGGGGTGGAGGGGGGAGGAGGAGGGGGGGAGAGAGAGAAGCGCAGTCTCAGCAAAGCCCAACTCCTCTTCTTCTCCTTCTCCTTCTTCTTCTTCTTCTTCTTCTTCTTCTTCTTTTTTTATGACCCGCCGGCAAGGTAATCAGATCAATTTCACGGCTTGTAGGCTATGGGATTCTGCCTACACCGCCAACCTGAGCGGTAGGTAATAGGTCGTTAAAAACCCCTCATCTGCGGCTATTTTGAGGTAGGTTGCTCAATATTTTAAGAAATGCAGCTTCTTCTTTTTTCTTTTTTATTATCATCATTATTA